GCGAGCAGCCGATGTGATTCATCGATCTGAGAAAATAATTCACTGTTTCTCAAATAATCAACCTTTCATCAAATATTGTACGCTGTTATAGAAATGAGAAGTGAAAAGTACGAACATGGAGATGACCAATTATTTTCGGATTAACTATTAGCTAAAACTGTGACGCTACGCGTGTTCGAACTTCGACCATTTACAAACACATCAGTGTTTCATAATGCGCACGAATTTTTAAATACGCTCTTTTGAGCAAATGTACGTTTTTTTTTAATAATTCGTGTAACGTGGTATTAACATGTGTCCAAATATTATAGCCTGAGCATTGTGCCCTGATTATTATGTTATATAATGTATAATATCGTATGCAACATAATTCTTATAGATCTATGTATAATGTATATAATATAATTTACAATTGATATAAGTATAACATGTTACATCTATACAATATGTATTAATATTATACCTGAATATTACATTAGAAAATATGACTAGAAAATAATTTACATAATATTATATAATATCTATATATTATACATTATATTTTATACATTATGTATACTTTATATGTACTATATACATTATTACACGAATTAAAAGAAGAAAATATAATCTGTAAATAATATTATTAGCTATTACATAATATATATACAATATACATTAATATCATATCTGAATGTTAAATTACATTGCATAAATTATTACAAGATACAATCAATATTATTAGATATTATGTAACATCTAACTAAACGTTATGTAATGTACAACATATATTGAAATTATATCTCCATCTATTTAATAATTATATGATAATATAATATAATAATTATATAATATAATTTTATTTATTTTTTTAATTTATTTTATTATAATTTACATTTGATATTATACAATTGATATAAGTATAACATGTGATATCTATACAATATGTATTAATATTATATAATATTATATATGACTAGAAAATAATTTACAGATAATATTGTTAGATATTATATAATATCTATATATTATACATTATATTTTATACATTACGTATACTTTTTATATACATTATTACACGAATTAAAAGAAGAAAATATAATCTGTAAATAATATTATTAGCTAATATTACATAA